AATAAAACAAGTAAGCATCTCAGATATGAACCTCTACCCTTAATTCCACAGCAGCACTTCTTACTGTCAGCACCACAGTAATAAACGCTCTAGACATGACGTGATTAGATACACCAGGTTGGTTGCTTTAGATTAATAAGTGATATTTTGGCTCGCCAATCGATCCCACCTTTGGCTCATGTAGTGATTCAGTAATGTCTAATGTGGATCAGACAACCTGGGGGATCCGCGGTAGGCGGGCCTGAACCCATCCATGTGTTTACCTTATCCCCTTTGAACTGCTCCGGGAGCTGCCAGAAGAGCACGTCATCTGGGTGCAAGCTGAAACCATTGTAGACCAAAACATACTGGAGAACAGGCGGAAGGAAATATGTAAAAGTGTGGATGAAGGAGAGACAGAGAAAAGTAGCAGATAAGCAAAGCAGAGAGGAAAGTATGAGAGAAAAAAAATCTATTCCTGTCAGTCACTGACCAACTGTAACTTCAACAACTTCATAAAAATTCTTACAATCAAATATGGTAGTTAGAAATAAGAAGAGTTGGGAATTGAGAATTTGGTTTACTATTTTTTTAAAAGTCTATTCAAGCTATACCTACAGGGAAACATTTCTGATTATTTTCAATGTTAAAAACAGTTGTGCTGCTTAATATTGTTTTTGGAAACTTTGATTATTTTTTTCACTGGTGACTACCTTGTTAGAAGGGCCAGGCCGTGGACCTCTAGGGAGAGCAACAGTGTTTTTTCCCTGTTGCACCTGCTGATAAGACCAACATCCAAAGCAAAAATCAAACAACATATCTTTGTTATCACAAGAAAATGTTTACTAGTGTAAACTAAGAAAGTGCTAAGCTACTAGCTACTGCATGAATGACAAATAGAGTAACTTTTTTTTAATGTGTGTGTGTTGCATTTTAAGGTGATAATTCATCCAAAAATGAAAATTGTCACCCTCCTTTCATCCCAAACATATATGACTTTCATCTTCGGAACACAAAAGAAGATCTGTTGGGGAAATAAAGTTTTTCTTTGTCCTTACTAGGGTTGTGCCAATAGACGATAGTATCGTGTATCGACGATAGTCAGAGATATCATCTGTGGCTGATGCCTTTGACGATAGCATAACAATTATTACTATTATTATCAGGCTAATATTATTAGGCTTATTTGTTCCGTAATTTCTGCGTTTTACAGTGTTGCGCCTTATAACCAATCAAACACGTTTCCGATGAGTTTATGAATGCACTAGCCAATCAGAGGCGTTCAGATGAGTCATCGCTGAAACACCAGAGTTTTGTTGTTGAGTGCGCACTCGCTGACTGAATTCTGCTCACTCACGAATTCTCTCATCATAAACAACAAAGTGCAGACATACGTGCAATGTAAGCATAAGAGATTTATTCTTCACTGATTATAACGGGAGTGTTTTTTTAAAGTGCACAAATTTGCGCTAGACTGAAGTCGGTGACGATGTTCTTTGATCATGTAAATGTTCTTTGCTCATTTTCTGTAGCTGCTGTTTGAATAACTGTAACATACAATGTTTTTATTAAATTGTTATGTTAAATACAAATTCGGTCATATTAAAAATATTTTATAACACCATGCTACTTGACTTTTAGCCTGGAGTTGGTTCACTCTCCGGCTATGAATCCAAGTAAGTAAATAATTAAATAAATTAGCATGATAATATTGTGTATCGGCGATCTCATAGGCTGACAATAGGACGATAAGACTATGGAGCATATCACTCAACACTAGTCCTTACAATAAAGGTCAATGGAATCCAACAATATTTTGAACCCCATTGATTTTCATTACATTTTACTGAAATATCCTCCAAAATATCTTCTTTTGTGTTCCACGAAATCATACAGGTTTTTAAAGACATGAGGATGAGTAAATTATAACAATTTGGATTTTCAGAGTGAACGACTACTAGTTAATGACTAGCCCAGGTGTAATCCTGACATGAGCCACCAGTGAGAGCACACAGTACCTGAGTTGAGTCAGGGTGAGAGGAATGGCCTGGGTCATTTGAATGGGACTCAGAGACCCTTAAAGAGGAAGTTAAACCAGAATGGAAAGAAGGGGCACGCACACTTGACCGAGACAGAGAACTCTGGGCCTCAAATGAAGAATGGGAAGTTTGAGAGGATGAAGAGAAAGGGAAGGGAGACTGCCCATTGGAGAAATTAGTGATGATTGCCCAGATTTCATCATCAAGTTTGCGTACTTCATCAGCAGGGTGCTAGTGAGAATAAGACAACGGATGGAACAGGAAATATAGTGACTCAAAGGCTTTGTTCAGATAGGCAGCAAATATTAGTGTTTATAACACAAATCCATTCAGTTTGAAGAGCAAGAAACAAAGAAGCCTAATTTAAAAAGTTGGTCAGATAGAATTTAAATTCTATTTATATTTCATTGTGGACACAGTACATACTGTATGTAAAATGCCTCTGGTTTGTTGTTTGAGAAAATTACAGTCATTATTATAGTAATCAATGAACACTGCTGCTCAAAGTTTGAGGTCAGAAAGATTTAAATTTTTTTTTTTTTTTTTTAAAGTATGTTTTGTAAGTAATGTTTATGCCCACCATTTGTTTATTTGTTAAAATTGTACAGTAATATTGTGAAATATTAATACAGTTTAAAATAACCATTTTCAATTTAAATGTTTTCAAATTTATTTCATTATTGTGATGACAAAGCTGAATTTTACTCCAGTCTTCAGTGTCACATGATCCTTCACAAATCATATTGAACTGGTGCTCAAGAAACATTTCTTATTATTTTCAATGCTGAAAACAGTTACGTTGCTTCATTGGTGGAAAACGTGATACCTATTTTTAAAACAAATATTTTGAAACACTATAAATGGCTGTCAACTGTCACCTATGATCAACTGAATGCATCTTTGCTAAATAAAAGTACAATTTTTGAAATAAAAGTATCTTTCAAGGAAAAAAAAAAATCATACTGACCCCAAATGTTTGAACGGTAGTAGACACATGGTTTTTGAGTCTAAACAAATGAATGGATCAAACAGAGAGCCATTTCTAGAGATCGGACCGGAAAAACAAACCAGATTTTTGTGCAGTGTAAACAAAGCCAAAGAGAGAGAACGAAGAGACAGATGTGCCAAAACTTGAATGAGTTGAGAGGAAAGATAGGGACATGCAGCCAATCAGATGATTAAATGCATGCAGGTAAGTGTTCAGGAAGTCAGTGTAAGAATCAGGATAGCATGTATGCTCTCACCTCAAGTGTTCATTCTGTTTAAGTGGTGTCACTCACAAACAGCAAAATATTTTCAAACCTCACTTTGCTTCATGCTGTTTTTCTCTCAAATATCATATCGCTTTCAATTCAAACATCTACAGGTGGAGTTAATGCATGAAGATATTATGTAATGTGCCCTTCACTGATTCTACTGGAAGTTCAGCATATCAGTCAGTTTTCTAGTAATTAATTTTCAGTGCAAACTCTCCAGAAGTCAGTTTATTAAAAGCATTGAAGGATTAGAGGGAGTTCAAACATTCAGATTAAATTTAGTACATTCTGTTGCTAAAGAAATATCCATCAGTTATGTGAAACAGGAGGGTGCCACACTGTTAAAGCACCTATAGGATTCAAGTAAGGTCAGTAAAAGTGAACTAATACCTCAATGGCTCTTTTGGACCTTAAGAGGTCTTTACCCATATCGTTCATTAGCTGCCATACAGCGACGTCCTTTCTCAGTTGGTCCTTTATCCATGATGAGTCTCTCTAGTTTTGTGAATAAAGCAATTTCTGTAATCTCGATACAAAAGCTAAATTATAAACTAATGAATTATAAACAAATAGTTGAAGAGAAGTGCCATCTGAAATTTCCTTCTAAAATGAGCATTTTTCTCAGACTCTCATGTGTAGGTTTAGTAATTTCACTTTAATGGCAATGAATAGGTTCTTTTAATTGCCATTAAAGTGAAATAACTGAACATAAACATTGGAGCCTGAGAAAAATGCTCATTTTAGAAGAAAATTTCAGATGGCACTTAGAGGATTTTGCATTTTAACTCTTCAGTTACTTTTATGTAACATTTCTGTTCGACTTGTATTTCCATACAGTTTAAAGACAAGAAAAACGTCACTTTCATCTGAGTCATTTCATTTTTTTAAGACTTTGTTAATGCCATTTTTTCAGACACCACAGTGAACAGCGAACCCTCAATTCTTAATAATTCAATAAATTCTAAAATCAAAATTTACCACATGGTGTTAACCAGGTTGCAGGTGTCAACAGGGCCTTAGTATCCCACACTTTAAAAAATGCTGGGTTGTTTCAACCCAAATTTGGGTCAAATATGGACTAACCCAACTTTTGGGTTCAAATTTTAATTAAACAATTTAACCCAACAGCTGGGTTAGTCCATATTTGACCCAAAGTTGGGTTGAAACAACCCAGCATTTTTTAGAGTGCATGCACTTCAAATCATAAAATCGTAACACGATGCACAGATGATCCATTCATGCATCATTCTAATTCTAGAAATACAGCAGGCCAAATCACAACAGACACACTCAACAAACATGATCACTCGCCGAACCTGCAAAGATTACCTTGTGTGCTCTTCTAGTCTGAGCAGAGTAAGACTTCTAAAAATGGCAAGTAGATTCAGAAACACTTAAATCAGTGTATCACATCCAAAACAAGGGAAAAATCTAAATATAAAGACACATCAGTCAATTTAAGCCTAAGCAAACTCAATTTGTTGATACTAGTACCTACTATAGTCTTTGTGTACACTCTAACCACTATGAAAACGGTTCTAAGCTGTAGAAGAGCTGCCCTGACTAAGTACATTTTGGAAGAAAAGGTCTTGGCAGGACGCATTTGCAGAACGAAATCCATTTGAAGGGAATTCAAAGCAGGAGAAGATACTTCAAGATAGAACGTAAGCAAACAGAAACGAAGGCTTGTAAGAACGATAAAATACATAATGCTGCCAAACTCTACCTTGTCTCCCTGATAGGCGTTGGGTAACTGCCAATAGTGGGGCTCCTGTCCAAGATAGTTAAAGTTAGTGTAGGAGAGTTGTGTTCCATCTGTGGACAGCTCTATGGAGAAGTCACTGTCAATGCGGTTGGTGCGCTGGCGGTTTACAAGAGCAAAACCTTGGTAGTTGCCAGGGGCGAAAACGGTGGAAGCCTGGAGAAAAAAGGCAGAAAATTAACATACGCCTATACAGACTGATGAAAAGCACTGGTGTAACTCATCAGGCCCTACCACATCTCTATAATATCTGGAGCTGGAGCACTGCTGGGTGACGCCCATGCAGAAGCAGGACAGACAGCCATCTTTGTTAGCAGGACTGAGGTAGAAGGTCCCTTGCTTGCAAGTGGAACATGTTGACCCCTCAACGTTCATCTGAGTACAAACAAGTATGTTTCAAAACTGAGTTTTTATAATTGTGATACAAATAACACACACACACACACAAACATTTATTTTCTTACCTTGCAGCGACAGATTCCATTTGAACTACATCCTTCGCTACCACTTTGGTCACAGCGGTAACAATCTATAAACATATTTTGTCTTGAAGTCACATTTAATTTTGTAACAAATTGGTAACGTATTTTAATGTAGGAGAAATGTTATTATTGATTATAATTTTAAGAATTATTTTTACAGTACATCATCTTTGCCAGTCTTACCACCATTACCGCTGTCTGGAGTGCATCTTTGTCCAAGTTGGGGATTGCCAGTATATCCTGGGGCACATCTGAGGAAAAATAGACAACACCTTGGAAAAACGGTTTCAGAATGTCATGCAGTAAAAATAAAACCTCACTAGGAATTAACAGGGACATGACAGGACCTGCCATGAACATTAAGAGCGATTTATGACTGCTATGGCCTGTGAGTCACACAGAATATGATTAATGCAAAGAGCTTCTTCAAATACTTCCTGAACGTTCTCAGACAGGCTAATATTGCTAACAAAGTCACTTTGACTTAAGTACAGATTATTGGTTCACAAAGGAAGAAAAAATAAGGTTGGGGAAAAGTAATTCGTAACAAGGGATATCTTATAAAAACATGACATGTATATTCGTAAAATGCTCAAGCAAATGATATGAGTTCAAATGAACATTTCATGTTTGGTTAATGAAGCGTTACTGGAGCTTGTGGTTGTGGAAGTACATTAGACAAAAAGACGTTTCAAAACAATGGCTTACTCTATAATATAAAATGCCCAATATCAAGAAAATACTTTGGAAAACAACCAACATGGATGCTTAACACATGACATGAAATGTTTGTGCATGAACAAGCAGTTATTGATAATCAGATTCTCATTTGGCATACCACAAGAAAAGCAAAAGAGCAAACCCCTGACATTAGTATCTTTTAATGGCCACCACAAGAGAAATATACGATCACATATAACAGATGATCTATAGCATAATACCATGCTTCCAAGTTCAAAAAATGAATAAATTACAGCCATGAATGCTCTCAACATTCAGCAGATGTTGAGTCTTTCTCTCTTTGAAAAACTACTTTGCTGAACAGAGACGGACTGAAATAAATAAAGCCAAAGACAACCAGAAGGACCCAATCAAAGTGTCTAAGAGTGTAAAACCACCGTATCCCCAAGCTTGTGGAAGCTGAGGAACTTGACAGAAAGTCTTACCTGGTAAACCAAGGTTCCAAGGTAGTCCAGACTAATACATTATACACTAATACAATACAATACAATCAAATACAATACACTACACTAATACTTCAACAAACCTTTTAAACGTATACTGCTGAAAATACATAATTCTTGACATATTTGGCCAAACTGAGGCTCTATGTTGACTGAGTTCACAAACTTAACAAGACAATAAGATGAGTAGGCAGTGTGGATAAATAAAGACGAATACAGTTGTATATAAATGTACAACAATGTCTGACTGCAACCAAGACATCACATAATATTATTAAACATTATTTCCATAATTCTGCTGAAAACATCAGGAATGGATCAGATTATTAAATAAAAATGCAAAGTACCACATGCCTAGTTTACAACATGCGTGGTTTATAAGAATTATGATATGTAATACCACTTCTGCATCATAGTTTGTGTTCAAACCTCAAGCCTCAACATTCAATACATTTTGAATAGTTCCTATGGGAATAAAAGAGAAAAAAACAGGTCCAATGAAAATTTTAAATGATACAGTAATTAATATATGTCTAGTATATGTCTAGTAATCAGGAATGATTTTGATGGGAATTGCCAGTCTTCCAAGAACAATATGAAGGTTCTTCAGCATAGATCTTGTTAATGTTTTTTGGCCCCTGTTGCTCTTCATGAAGATGTCTAAAATATTAATGGTTTTAGATGTGTTGACTTTCTTGGAGTAGTTATTTTTACTTTGGGTTTAGGGGAGTGTAATCTTTTCTTGTCAGTTGATTTACTAGAAGCAGTTGTGTAGGTAGACTCCTCAGCTTGGCTGGACCTTAAGTCTGATGCACCTCTTGCTTCATGAGAAGGAACTAATTGATTTTGCTTAGAGGACTTAGTCTTGGAATGTCTTGTCTTTGTTTGGACGTTGTGAGAAGGTTTGCTGATGTTTGTGGGTTTTTTGGACGGTCTTACTTGCAAATCATTTCTTTGTGTTTTCATAGATTTGGATGATTTTTTTGAAGGAATATGTGCCCCTTTTTGTGGTTTGCTTGATGACTTGGAAGATTTAGCTGCGATTTTTGTATGCGATGGAGGAGGAATCTGAAATTTAGTTGCAGATTCTTCTTTTACTTGTGGCTTTGTAGGTGAACGGGATAGTTGGTCATGATTCCTTGTAGCTTTTTGAGACTTACCATTTACTTTTGGACCACTTTTGTGGTGTTTTTGAGGAGTTAGGGAAACTTCAGTTGGTGCCTTTCTTTTTTGTTGATTCTGTTGCGTTTCATTGGAGGTGACCAAGGTTGAAGTCCTTTCAGAGGATGTAGTAAGGGGACGGCTGACAATAACTTTGGGAACTGTTGATCTCCTAGCAGATTTACTATGATACTTGTTGTCTGCCTTTGATGTGAAATTGGTTTTAATGTCTCTTCTTGTTGATATTGGTCGGATCCTTTTAGTTGAGAACTTTGCTTGCCTCTTAGTTGAACTTTCATTCATCTGGGAACAGCCAGAAGCAAAGCTGGTTGTGGAGATAGTACGAGGAGTTGGCAGGGTTTTGGGAATAATAGTTCTCTTCTGAAATCCGCTGGTAGACATGCGAGTAATCCAAGCTGTAGTCAAGGCTGGAATCGGGGTGGTAGCAACCACAGCGGTCTCTCTGCGATCCTGTGGTGGACGTGCCACATGACGTGCACGTTTGACTTTGTCTAACTCTTGCGCTAGGGCAGTGAAGCCATCAATTAGTATCTCAAGTTTGTGTTCTAGTTTACTTAGTCTTGTTTTAATGTCTGTGTATTTGTTGGCCAACTTATTAATTCTGTCTTTCTGGTCATTTGGAGACAAAACACAGGTTAGTGTCTTCAGTTGAGAGCTGAAGCGACTGTGCTGCTTTCTTATGTTCTCGAAGCTGTCTTTCATGTCCAATGTGTTGCTCTCAAGCATACTAAGGCGTTGGTTGAAGCGATTCATGTGCATCCTCAAGAGCAGCTGGAAGCTCTGCTGTCGCACCTCAGGACTTGGTGTGTAATGCAGCGGCCCACGAGTCCAACGGTGACTTAAACTACGTATAGTTGTTGACAGCAAAGATCTTGTAGTACTTTCAGGTCCTGAAAAGCTACTATCTTCTCTACTATCAAAGTATTCTTCAATGTCATTGTCAGTTGTATCCAGAACTTGCTTCTTCCCAGGGCTTGAAGTAGAAAGCATCATAACATGTAGTGGGGAGGAAACCTTTTGATCCTTCAAGGTAAAAGTCTCCGCAGTTGGAAATGCTGAGAGCCATGATGAGACAGGGCAAGTTGGAACCAAATGTATTTTTTAAATATAAGCAATTTGTTTTTTATCCCAGACACCCAAAAGCTTTTACCCTCTGAGCAAGTGACAAGGATCCAAAATCCATGTCATCAACTTGTTTATGCTTCAGTATGGGAAGCATAAACAACCCTAGAGACTCACAAATGTCTAGAAGAAGAGTTTGAAATAAGAAAAAGTTGCTCAAAATGCAGCAAAGGCTTTACAAAGATGCACTGAAGCATTAAAATAAGTGACATTATGCAACTAATTACTTCAACACCTTCAAAAAGACATCTCAGCCTTGCTGACAGTAAGAAGGAAACTTTACTCTCTCAGTAGAGAAGTGAAACCTTTATGCTTGATAAAGGTGCCTTTTTTAGATGTACAATACATTAATATTTTAATCACCACTGCTTCCACTTATAAACTCCTCCAAAAAAGCGTTCAGACATTGACACTTGGTATGGGTGACACTGATTCAAGGCTTGCTTCTCCCATACCATTAGACAAATGCCATTCAATCACAAATGGTTGAAGAGAAGCTGGAAAGCAACAGACACATGCTTTCTGGCAGTAGAAAAAGAATGCCAATCACCAGTTTGGCCAGCCCAGCTTTTCTGAATGGGAGGTTTACCCCCTCATTGGACCATAGACACTTACCTTTCACAGCGTCTTCCAGTATAACCAGCAGGACATTCACATGTGGTCTGGCCATCTGAGTCCAAGTAACAAGATGAAGGCCTTCGGAAGAAGAAAATTATTAGATTGGATGAATATGAATTATAGGTTATGCCTAAAGGATAGCCTCTTTATATGAAAAAAAAAATGTCTTCGATAAAGTTGATAGATAAAGGCAAACTCACTTGCTACTGGAGTGTCCTAGACAAGGACAGGGTCTACATGCCTGTGGCTCACCAGTCTTTGGATTTCCATAGAAACCAGGGAGGCAATTTTCACAACGGCGCCCAACTGTGTTATGCAGGCAATTCTAAAACAGGGAAAAAGGGAAAGTGTCATAAATTACTCCAGATTAGGAATGGTTCAACTAGTCAGGATAGTGTATTTTTCTTATATACTTTGGTAATAAAGACTTTCTTGACAAGTGATAACAGACTAGTTGATTAATAAGGAATTTATGTTTTTTTATTCATATAAATTTTATTCATATACATTTTTTGGTCTTTAATTTTATTCATCATAGTTGAATAGTCAACCATTTATCCAATAACCGACTATTTCATTATTCAGGCTGATCAGTTTGATGAGTTAGATAGCGTTGATTTGTTTTGATTTTAGTCATGATAGTCAACCAGTAATCCGATAACTGACTAATTACTGAAATTACTGAGGATGACTAGTTTATGAAGATCATTTTATATAATATTAGCATTGATTTTAGTTTTCCACAATGGTCAACTAGTGAACCAGTCATGCAATAACCAACTCGTTAATTATTGAGGTTGACTAAGTTTATGGAGTTTTTTCTTTTACTGTATACTTATAGCTTTGATTTAGTTTTTCACAGTGGTCAAATAGTCAGTTATTGGATTATGGATCAACTAGTTGTATAATCAATAATCAATAAGGACAACTGTTTTATGTAAATTTGATATTATGTGTACATTTTTTGTTTTGATTTTATTCTTAATAAACGACCAGTCATCCGACTTGTAAATTACGGAGGTTGCATAGTTTATGGGGGTTCATTTCTTTTATATTCTTATTGCTTTTATTTTCACAGTGGTCAACTAGTTGACTTGTCATTCAATAACTGACTAGTGAATAAGTGAGGTTGACTTTTTTTTTGTTAGATATGCTTTTTTTAACTGTTTCTGAACAACCCCCCTGCTAAGCCTGTAACCTCCCTGCTAAGAAACAAGTCCAACTGGGGTCAGATGAACCCAAATCCAGCCTAATTATACAGGGCTTCCAGTTACAACTGATTAGTAAACTAGAAAAGTCAACTGACCAACTAGGTGATTTTGAATATATGTTGTTTTGCACATCCTTACTTCAAACAAACGCCATAAATCATCCAGGAACAGCATAATCACTGCAATGGAAAGGTTAACTCACCAGGCAATCTCCAGTCTCTGACTCACAGCCGCTGGCATGCCCGTGGCAGTCACACTTCTCACAGGTGCCAAGATAAAGTCCAGGTGTACGGGTGTAGCCAACATTACAGTCCTGCAAACAATGGGTGAGTCAGAGGTGGCTGGGTTCACAGGTCTCTATGGATGAAACTCTGCATCCATTCTCTTCATTGACATAGAGCTTTAGAGCTAAAATGTTCCATGAGTTGCTAAGAACTTCCATTTAGAGATCAAGAAAAATAAATAAAAGGCTGTTATTAACTTGACAGGCAGAACCTCTGCTTTAGGGGAAGGTTTTTGCATCAACTCAGGCTGACACAAGTTCACACAGACAGAGTGTTGCTATTTAAAGTTAAAGCAATATACCTGGCAAGAAGGTCCTGTGTATCCTTGAGGGCAGGCACACTCCTCCACCTCCAGAGCCCTTTCGTTTCCTGTAGAGTGGGGCACTGCAATGTCCATTTGTATATTGGAGATACTGAACAGGAGAGATTGAGATTAAACACTAATATCCTGTTCACAAAATCAGTTAAGCGACAGATAGGAACCTAACAGGACAATGTGACACCATCTAGAGGATGCATATATAAAGGACATCAAAAGTCAATGTATAATAAATGAGCAAGAGCAAAACTAAAAATGCAAAGTTACCTGCTCTCAGCCATATTGTATGCATAAGTGGCTCTGATCATAAAGACGCTGATATCGGCCAAAGCCATCAGCAGGTGCTCTCTAGTACATGGCTGTCCATCCGACCGTCTCCATGCAGACTGGGGGGATTACAGGCAATGAAAACTCATATAGCAAATCAAGCTAGATCAAGTTTCACCTTATGGCCTTAAAAAAATAATAACTATTAAAAAAATGTATTATTATTTCAAAAAATTAAGATAATATTCTTATTATTATTTGTATAATTATTTATTTAAAATACAACATTTATGTGAAATATGAATGTATTATGGTTAAGATGATGACAAATTAATTTATTTGAAATATGAAATGTATTTTTATGAATATAAACAAAGGAATTATTATTTTTTATAATTTAAAATATAATGTATACATACAGCACCCAAAAATGTAACTTATATTTAAAATTCAATTCCTTTGGACCACATAATAAAGAGAAGATAAAAAGATACATATACAATTAAAAATACATATATTTGCAACACACCTCTCTAAAAGGCACAGTGATGGTGGCTGGTTTTCCAGCAAATGTTCTGGTCTGAGAATAATGTTCCAGGAAGATGCCGTTGCCTTGGAGAACCACATTTGGTTGTCCATCAAGCACTAGTGAACGAGCTTGCAGCTCATAATGCATCCTGTACTGCAGTTCTCCACCATATGCTGTGACCTTTACGCAGGAAAACATGTTTTAAAAAGCAGCACACTGACATATGCTATATTACCTGACAAAGGCCAGATTGTAAATATGGCATTGTACCGCACAGGATGTTCTCACCTTGTCCCCTCCAAAACTCTGAGGCAGGACCCAGTAGTAGATGTCATTAGGGATACTGGTGAAGGATCGGTAGACCACCTCTGCACTGGCTCTCTGAGTGATGCCCTCAGAGATGGTCCTAGTATTTGCTGCATTGGAAAGTGTGAAGAGCTGGCCATTGACACCACCTCGAACCTTCAGATTAACCAACAAATATAAGCAAAAAACATTCAAACATCTATTTTAAAGGTACAACTATGACAAGATTAGAGGATGCGGTTACCTGATCTCTGCTCCAGGTTGAACTGGCACACTGTTTAGTCACTCCCATACAGAAACACTGCAAGCAACCTTCAGGATTATCAGCCGCCAAATTAAAAGCGCCATTCTTACACTCATCGCAAAGAGCACCAACCACATTGGCCTGCACAACACAAGAGCAAACACTGTTTGAACATTTATATTATGTATGTTTTCAACACTGATAATAATGTTTCTTGAGCAGCAAATCAGCATATTAGAAAGATTTCCGAAGAATCATGTGACACTGAAGACTGGAGAAATGGATGTGGAAAATTCAGCTTTGCCATCACAGGAATAAATTACATTTTAAAATAATAATAGAAATAATAGAAAACAGCTGTTATAAATTAAACATATTTCAACTTATATCAACTTTAAAGAACTTATATTCATTTTTGATCAAATAAATGCTGCTTAAGAGACTTTCCGATCCCAAACTTATTAATGGTGGTATATTAAAAAAGAGAGTATCTGTAGTGCAATTTAATACCTTGCAATAGCATGGTTTGCTGATGGGATTGATGGTTCCTCTGTTATCACACTTGGTAATCGCTGAACAGGGATAAGAACACCATATGGTTGACAATTGCACCTGGAATGCTTTGAACATCCTGGTCACAAACAGCTGGCATTCCAGCATGCAGTGCACTAAGTGTTAATCATTATCTAAAGCTTCACTTGACCTTCAGGGTAAAATGAGGCAGAAATTCCAAGAAAAGAAATAGCTTAAGGCAAACAAATAAATCTTGCAGCTAATATTAATCTAATAAATCATTTACTATCACAACTGTAAACAAAAATAAAGGAAAAATGCTCACGGCTAGCAGCAGGGATACATTGGCCGTTGGGCTGAAGAGGGTTGCCGACATATCCTGGAGCACATCTGTGGCAAAAAAAAAAGACAGATGATGACATATTTCTTATATACATGCACTCAGTACCACAAAATGTAGTGTTAAAACAACAAGTATATGCAAACGAGCTTCAACATTACTTCTCACAACGTCGCCCTGTATAACCAGGTCTGCAGGCGTCACATGTTGCCTGGTTGTCATGGTCCAGGAAGCAAGTATCAGAAAACCTTTAAACACATCAACATTTTGTTATTTTGTCAAAATTCCATTCAAAATTTTTTTATTACTATTTACTATTACTAATTTTAATTGTATTATATTATATTATATTATAATATACACAGGTTTTATATCTTTACCGTCGAGACGTCTCTGTGTATGGACAAGGACAGGGTTTGCAGTCATCATATCTTCCTCGACTTGGGTGACCAAAGTAGCCAGGTTTGCATTTGTCACACTGAGGTCCTTCTGTGTTATGCTGACAACTCTGTCACATGACATTTGTGTGTGGCGTTCAGTAAACTACTGATGCATTGTATAAGTTATCTACATATTTATAAAAACACATTCTTACCAGGCAGTGTCCACTAATAAGGTCACAGGCACTGGCATGACCATTGCAGTTGCAGCCAGCACAGATGCCCAGGTAGGGTCCAGGTACCCGCTCGAAACCAGGGGAGCAGGACTCACAAGACAGGCCTGAATACCCAGTAGGACATCTGTGTGAGATCAACAATTGGCACAGATTAACACTTTCCACACAGAATTCTCAAAAAATAACAACAACAACAAAATCAGCATCTGGACTAAAAAACATTTGGCTTACTCTGAATTACTCTTAGTGTCCACAGAACATACAAAATTGCAAACAGAAATAAAATATTTGAAGGTTTAACATGGGGTATAATCATTTTATTCACATAAAACATGGGGTATAATCATTTTATTCACAGGAACATGAATTCCCCGCACCGCGAGAGGTGATTTGAGAGGAGCTTTTTATTTTCATATTTATATATTTTTATATAAAGGCACACTAACCTGCACTCCTCCACGTTTCGCGGGTTCCCTTGCTGTGTGAACTCTTTGGTGGTGGTCTCCATGCTGATGTCACTCAGGCCCACACTGGCCATGCGGTTGTCATAAATGGTGCGAATGTGGATGCTCTCCAAATTGGCCAAGGTCATCATGAGGTCATCACGAGTTGCGGCTCGTCCTGAGGAGTGCTGCCAGTTTTCCTGAGACACAGAAACAGAGAGGTGAACCACCTCACATAACACTAATAAGAAATACTGCTGCAAAACTACTTTAAACAAAAATAACATTTGAGAATCACCATTTTAAATAATGATTTTTTGGTATACGGTATTAATACAGTTTTATATGTCAGTCTTACACCGATGTTTTAGCAGTGTAGAGCTGACAATACTGCAAATTCATTACAATTTTACTCAAAACTTTGAGATTATATTTGCTTTATTATTTTTAGATAAAATTAAATAACCCTGTATTCTGTTGACAGCTCTTATATGAGCAAATGTATGCTATGGTTACGACAGCATTTGTAGTCAGTACTTCAAAGCATAAGTTTATTACAATATGAAGAATTCTGAAGAAAAAGCACAAAAACATTTAAAAAATACAATTTTAAATAAAAAATTACGTACACACTACTATTCAAATGTCTGGTCTGGGGTCAGCAAGTGTTTTTTTTTGTTTTTTTAAAAAGCAACAACACATTTTTGTTGCAACAAAAAGTGACACTAAAGACATATGATTAACTAAAGACAAAAATATTAAGCTGTTTTCAACTGTAATAATAATAATAATAATAGGAAATGCTGCTTGGGCACCAAATCAGCATATTAGAAAGATTTCCCATGTGACCCTGAAGACTGGCGTAATGATACTGAAAATTCAGCTTTGCCGTCACAGGAATAAATTACATTTAAAAATATTTTAAAATACAACAGTTATTTGAAACTCTAACAAAATTTCACAATATTAATGCTTTACTGTATTAGCCTTGGTGAGCAGAACAGTCTTTTTTCAAAGACATAAAAAGACTCCAAACCTTTGAACAGTAGTATGTATATATACACTATATATAAGAAAAATAAATGTTATATATTTAAGCATTTCACATATGTGGCTTACCTCTGTAAACTTGATCTGTCTATGGTTGATTGTGTCAGGTAAAGTGGGGTCGCCTCTACGGTAAATAAATTTCTGCCCGTTGCCGCTCAGCACAACATCAGGTTTCTCCTTTAATTCCGATCCACCTCGCTGCAGTGAGTAACTCACCTTAAAATTCAGATAACCTCCATACAAGTCAACCTGTACAACACAGACACAGTGTCCAGAATACCAAGATACTGATGCTTCCCAAGCTTTCCAAGACAATCAAGCTACCACATTTGAATATTCACAGTGACAGAGAGAGAAGAGACAGCTAATGATAGGGAGAAGATGGAAATGGGATTGCACGAAAACAGGAAGATACGGATTACTCATAATGTTTTATTGAGCTCCTATCTACATTTGTTCAGTCGAGTATTGTGGAGGGGAGAGAAACCTTGTTGCCCAGGAACTGGCGAGGCAGAGTCCAATAGGAGTCTTGATCGAGGAAACGGCGAGACAGATCCACTAGCTGGAACTCCTCACTCTCTGGATTGATCAACATCTGAGTGGAGGAGAGAGGTGGTTGGGTGCCTGGACGACTAGGAAATGACACATTGACTCCTGTGGATAAAACGATAGATAGACAGAGACAAACAGAAAAAGGTAGTGTATTATATTTTCAATACCAGTGTAATTGTTCCTTTAAAGAGGTAGTTCACCCAAAAAGGAAAATTCTGTCATTAGCGACTTACCCTCATGTTGTTCCAAACATGCAAGACCTTCGTTCATCTTCGGAACACAAATTAAGGTATTTTTGATGAAATCGGAGAGCTTTCTGACCCTGCATAGACAACAACGCAACTACCATGTTGAAGGCCCAGAAAGGTAGTAAGGACATCGTTAAAATAGTCCATGTGACATCATCAGTGGTTCAACCATAATTTTAGGAAGCTACGAGAATAATTTTTGTGCGCAAAGAAAACTAAAATAATGACTTTATTCAACAATTTCTTCTCTTCCGTCCGTGTCAGTCTTTGACATGCGTTCTTACTACATTTCTGGGCCTTAAACATGTCAGTTGTGTTGCTGTCTATGCACAGTCATACACTCTCGGATTTCATCAAAAATATCTTAATTTGTGTTCCGAAGATGAACCAAGGTCTTTTGGGTTTGGAACGACGTGAGGGTCTCTAAATTATCAACATGATCTAAACTTCACAAAAAAATTTGTTGTACATAATATACTACATGCCTTTTGCAGTCTGGTAACATTTTTACACACAAGTAAATATAAGAATGTCCTTTATATTGTTAGCAATATTTCAAGATGAAGACTTGCTGCACTGAAACAACTTTGAAAAATTGTGCTAAATTGTGAGTGTCAAATGTGATGTATCAGGTTTTTGATGAACATTTGTTTATTTGCATTATGTTCGTTTTAGATATGTTTTGCTCCCAACAATTAAAACAGAAATACAGAGTGACCATTGATATTCTTAACGCATTTCATCTAAGCTGTTTGCTATACAGTTCTTAAAAATCTCATTAATTTACATTAGAAGTTAACTGAATTTCACCTTATTTTTTGGCCTTATAAAATTATAATTTAGTTTAGGCCTCTGAACAAAAATGGCTTTTTTCCCTCCTTGAGCTAGAATGACATTCAACAAAAAAACATATGCGTATTTTTATATATTATGTCTGAAGGTTCAATAAACTGTTCCGTTAAAAAAAAAATCTGACTGATTATATGTCTGGCTTTATAGGGTTAGTGATAATTATCATGAGTTACACATAAGATGACACCAAAAGTTGCCACAACAACTACATTCTCCAACTGTAAATCCATAAACATAAATGCAAAAATCTGAATTTTTAATCAGTTGAGTACCTTTGAAGTCCTCGTCCTCTGTGAAGCGCAGTGTGATTTGGCTGCGGTAGCGACCGGTGCTCTGACAGTGCTTTGTGATGCCAAAACAGAAGCATGGCATGCAGTGATCGCCCACGCTAAAATGTCCATCACGGCAGTTACCTGCTAACACGTACAGAGAGGATGACACAACTGGACAAGAACGACATGGAAGACAAAGGATGGTGAGACCACCACCGTCAGGTTTGAGCTGCCTCACAGTCACGAGACAACAAGGTCACGACATGTGGTCAAAGAACAGCAGGATAACCTGTGTCTCGCAAATAAAAGATGACATCCATAGTCTCTTCGGAAAAGAAAGTATCAATCGAGAACAAACATAATACAGAACACATAGTAATCCAAATATGTTCGCACCATATGGAGCTGATGCAGTACCTGGGTTTGGTCTCTGAGATAGGCTGAGGACCCCATCAGGAATGGCAAACACAAGGCCTTTAGCGTTGATGGCCTCGCAGGTGTATGCACCCTGGTCACCTTCCTTCACGTCGCGGATGGTGATCGTTCCTCGCCCATTCTCATTGGCCATTGTGATTCTGTCAATAGAATCATGTTTAAATTAGGGCGGTATTGAGAGCCCAGCCAGGCCCCCCCCCCATTTTATTTTATTTTATTTATTTGTAATTATTTGGGTTTTGTTAATTGAATAACCTTGTAGAAATGTAACTTGTAACAAATGGGTCTGCTATCTGTATACTTATTAGTCCATGCAGAAAAATATGATAGAAACTAAAAAAACTAAAAAACTAATTGAATTGGTAATGAAAGACAAAATACAAAAACTCTGCATAAAAATGATTTTAAAAAATCACATCTGACAGGAAAAAAACCCTACAATAGCCTAGAAATGATTATACAGAAGGAGAGCACGTGCTGAGGAGCAAATTAAATACGGCTCTCTGGTTCTATATTAATAATGTCCAATAAGGATTATGACAAATAATAATGGCAAAGAAGCAACTTTAGAAGAACTCCTTTGAGATTCAATAATTGGAAAAGAGATAGTTCACAACCTTTTTGCCAAAAAAGAAAGCCTGTTTCTTACTGAGTACATAAAGTATGGCCCTCTGTTTTCATTTAGACTAGTGCTAAAGTCATTCATTTAATTATTTATAGAGTTCAGCAAAGAGAGCTCTGGGAATACAATAGGAATGGATGAAACCACAAGTATTCATTACTTTGCATTTATTCAGTCTTTAAGAGAATATGGACTGTATGACTTTAACCCAGATTGTGGACATCTTGATCATTTCAGAGTTTTTAATCTACAATGCTTACTACATCCTAACCTACCTGCTACTGGTTGGTATGTGTCCCCAATTAAGACGCCATGTGATGATGGGAACAGGTACACCAATGGCAGAACAAGTAAAGGTTACAGTGTCGCCCCGCGCTGCCGTGATGGACTCTTCCGGCGGGACGGTCACAGTGGGAGGTGCTTGGGTACAATAAAAGAAAACATATAGTATAATCATTTTACAGTACGATCAATTATAATCCGCATATATAACTGTATTATATGAATGCTAACAGTAAAAGAGACATATGGACAAAAGAAACCACACACACGCAGCAAGTCTTTGATTCTAAATTGGCAGCCTGTGACAGCACAAGTTTTATTTGGCAGATTCATTCAGTGAGATTAGCCAACCAAAGCCGGAGGCACTGCTGGCAGAAACAACACCAAAGCCGCCTGTTAAATAAGCTACATGCACAAGATATATGGGAGATGAGATCTAGATGTTATTGAAAAGCTGTATGAGTGCGGCAAAACATGAATCTTTCTTTGCTGACCATAAATACACAATTTTCAGGTTTTAGAAGAAGCATTACTGTTAGTAAGTCAAAGTGAGTGTGACAGTGAAAGAAAAGTGGAGACAAAAGAGTTAGTGTTTGGAATGGTATGACAACCAATGTTTACTTGTTAAAGATTAATAGGATTCTAATGCCTTACCACAACCGTATTCATCAGAGCGGTCGGCACAGTCCGGCTCCTCGTCACACTGGTAACTGGCAGGAATGCATGTGCGGTCAGACAAACACACAAACTGCTCCGGGGCACATGTGTCCCCTGGACCTTTAGTGGCTGAAGGAATGAGAAACAACAATCAGTTATTAGCAAAGTGTGTCATTTCTGTGCCTCTAGTGGCAACAAACTGAACTCCAGGTTTCCAAACAATCTGTGGATGGAAGCTCAGCTCTGACTTACGGCAGTTCATCTCATCTGAGTTGTCTTGACAGTCATTATCCCCATCACAACGCCACAGTTTCAGGGCACAACGGCCGTTCTGACACTTAAACTCATTGGGTTCACAGGGAGATGGAGTTCCTTAGTAATTAAAAATATAGTTGTATAGTTGCACCAGCATAACGTGCTTGATTATAAAGTGGTTTTAATTCTATGGTAAATGAAATGGTTACAGCCTACTGCCGCTTGTCCTACCACAATTGAACTCATCGCTGCCGTCAGCACAGTCCGTTTCGCCATCACAAACATAGTCCCGTGAGATACACTGTCCATTCTGACAGGTGGCCTGGTCTGCACGGCAGGGTCCCGGGCCAGGTGGGGGTCTGGTTTTAGGAGGTGTAGGTGGAGTAGGGCGCACAGGAACAACAGCTTTGAAAATAAATGATATAATTAGGACTGTCAATCAATTACAAACACAAAGCACATTTGAAGCCATTATGATGTCAAGCATTGTAAAGCATGAATATAAAAAAAAAAACAAGATCCTATGCAATGTATTAAATTAATATGTTTAACTGCCATAAAATAAAATAAAATAAAATTGTATATTTTTCTGAAAAAGATATATTAAGACTATAAAATAAAAATGTTATACATGTTATCAAAGTGCATTTAGTTGGTGTCAGTCAGTTAAATTAACAAAGCAATGCTGCTAATTTCTGAGACAAATGAGGACGCAATCTCACTCACCACAGTTCATTTCATCACTGAAGTCATTGCAGTCAGGCCGTTTGTCACACACATACTCCCGAGGGATACACGCCAGCCCATCCTGACATCTGAAGTCGCCAGACAAGCATTCTCTGGGAACGGGAATCACTGAGGTGGCAGAGACAGACATATAAAATTCTGTGATGCACTGTACGTAATGCAATGCAGGGATCCAAGAAAAACTGTACATGATGCTTTGTTGAAAGATGTTTCAATGATTCAATGCAAGCTCATCATTGCCTTGCCATGCTAGACCTGTCATTTCAAGAGGATAGGCTTTGTTCACACGGGCAGCGAAAATCCGCTTTTAACAAAATCTTTTTAGTTTTTATAGTCTGAATAGCCAAAAAAAAGAGAGAAAATTTCAGAAAATAAATTCACATTTTGTTTTTTTTTGTTTTGTTTTTGTAATGCAGTCTGAAGGTCAGGTCAGGTTTGAAGTTTTTTTTTTTTTTTTTGTAAAATTATAAACAGACAAGCATTCTCTGGGAACGGGAATCACTGAGGTGGCAGAGACAGACATATAAAATTCTGTGATGCACTGTACGTAATGCAATGCAGGGATCCAAGAAAAACTGTACATGATGCTTTGTTGAAAGATGTTTCAATGATTCAATGCAAGCTCATCATTGCCTTGCCATGCTAGACCTGTCATTTCAAGAGGATAGGCTTTGTTCACACGGGCAGCGAAAATCCGCTTTTAACAAAATCTTTTTAGTTTTTATAGTCTGAATAGCCAAAAAAAAGAGAGAAAATTTCAGAAAATAAATTCACATTTTGTTTTTTTTTGTTTTGTTTTTGTAATGCAGTCTGAAGGTCAGGTCAGGTTTGAAGTTTTTTTTTTTTTTTTTGCAAAATGTAGACAGTCAGTTGTGAAGATCGGATTTGAAAATCAAATCAGATTTATGTGCAGTGTGAACAAAGCCAAAGAGCAAATCTGTATAATGTTCATCCTTTCTATTCAGTCTTGAATTCTCTTATCCGGTACCTTAATCTGAAAGTAAAAAATATGGAAAGATTGGACAGCAAAAATTCAATTCCAACACAAACACAACACATTACATTGTCTGAAAACGATACTTCAAGAGGTGCATTCCTGACATCAGCTTCACTTCAAATCAATGACAAGCCATGCAAAGCCTTTTGTTCTTCTCATCATACTCAGGTCTTCATCAGAGTGCACACATGCATAAAGGTTCATTCATTCTTTATCCAGCCACTACATATGCTGAGAATTCCTTCAGTTCTCATAAGTGAACAAGACTGGACTGTGTTCTAAAGCACTATTGTCTCCATGCAGCAGACCTGGTTGAGGACAAACCTGGCACAACGATGGGCTCCACAGGAGGGGGAGTATCAGCTATGAACCAGACCATAACCAGACAACATTATCTATAATACATTTTTGAATGATGACTAGTTCCACACAGAACTACCAGAATTAATCGTTATATAAACCATAAAGTGCAAAAAAACAAGAGTATAAAAATGCAAGTTCGGATATACACAATAATTTGATTTAACAACTGAACATTTAACACATCATCAAAATGATTATTATTGTATAATATACAACATAATAATAATATACAATAATATTATTGTTTATTATTGTTTTAATGCCAATGCCATCTTCATGGCGAGAACAAAGTGAATAACAGGAGTCATACAATTAACAAAAAGCTATACAAGACATTTAAGATAAATACAAGACAAAACTTCTAAAATACCTTCCGGTGATACTTCTTTTAGAAATATACAAGTTAAATACATATCTCTGAATGAAAATGTTGTGTATTAACATATAAAACAGTGCAGTCCAGCAAAATATGTTCAACAGTGTTATGAAGGCATGATGGTGTTTCTTCACCTTTCAATAAATAATGTGAATTTTGAATGACCTAAACGGTACCTAGTAAAAAGAACCTGATCATTTATAGATTTGAAATTACTTTCTAGAATTTATGTCGTCATAATTTCTGTGGCATTTATCCCATTTCCTCTGCCACTTGTTATTAATATAACAGTTTATTACTGGTCTAAGGTCATTTTTATTGTTTATAATAATAATAATAATAAAAATTATGATGATGATGATAATAATGTGTGTTCATTTCTTATTCTGCAATTTATAAGCCTGCAAAATGTATTTGTCAATATCTGAAAACTGGAAACTCAATCACCCTAATTATTATTAATAAAATGATGATGATTATTATTATTATAAAATATGTTAATTTCATACAATATTCTGCAATTTATAAGACTTCAAACATAGCGTCTGTTATATTGTGATTCTGATATCACAATATAACAATATGATATTCTTATAAAATCGCATTGCATCATTTAGTAAGGAATCATTGTTTACTCACTATAACTATATATATATATATAAAAAAAACTGCACATACCTTCTCCAAGCCGTCTGAATTGGAAACCTATTACTGAGGTATCGTAGGAGGCAATTGTGCCCTCTTTAACCACTGAGAACAGGACATCTCTGATCTGTGTTTCATTAGAATTATTATCTGAGCCGACATCCAGCTCCACAAACACATCTTTGCCGATTTTCCTGCAAATGTACACAGAGCACAGTTAATCAAAACAACTGTCCAAACTAACAAACCACATAAACCAACTTAATATGGTTTGTTGGTATCCCAGTCTGGTCAGGCTGGTCTGTTTGCTGTTTTACACCAGCTTGGCCAGGCTTGAAGACCAGCTGGTTTAAGGTGTTTTTAAGCAGATTGATCATAATAAGTCTCATAATACAAAAAATTACTTTTGAGTATTTGACTATTTGAAATGAATTTCCTAATGATTGTAAAGTAAACTGACTATCTTTATACATTAGAAGATGCACTATTACATTAGTGTTTGAAACTGAAATTGGTGTTTACTTAATGAGAACCACATTGACGGTCTGCTGTCCTGGTATCCTGTTGTAGTCAGACTCAAGCTGTGGAGAAAATAAACACCATTAATCACCACATACTGGCCTTGCCTTACAAAGTACTTCAGTCTCTGTGTACTACATTCTAGTTTTACAGCCAAATACTGATTTAGCCTAAACATTAACACAGTACAGACAAAAATCAGAGGAAAGGCATGTGATCAATAATATGACCCAATACGCAGGTGGAGCACACCCTTAATTATTATTGTGAAAACTCTGTTGATGGTATTTCTTAAGTTCACAGTCCTTGAGTAAACGCACACACCGTATCGACGACAGCAGATGATATCTCTACAAAAGCAGGAGTGTAGATGTCATCAAGTTCAGGCCCATACTGGAAGGAGTTTGTGAAGTTCACCAGCGCCCGATAGTAAACTAGAAACAAGACGACGACTGTCAGACTCAATAACAGCACCAGAGAATAATCATTATAGTCATTTACATCAATTAGCACTATTAAGCAAGATATTTGTCTCTATAAAAATATCTGCTAATAACATTTCACTTGACAAGCACAAATATACAAACTACACACAAATCAATATTACTGTCGATGTACTACATTCATTCTCAATTTTCTTTTATTAATTGTAATTTTTTTTTGATTTTATAGATTCAATATTGTATATAAATTAATAATATTAGTTTTATTCTTTAAACTTATACAAAAGTTAGTTCTAAGGATGCATTGATATTCAAATTTTAAAAAAGGTTAGCTGAAAAGTAAATGTATGGACTATAAACATCCAATATTAACATTCTATTGACACCGTTTTGTCTAAATAAATATAAAAGCACTAAAAATCATAAATAAATCATTTTAAATTCACTACAAATTAATTTAGGCTTCACAGCATTATTAAAATACAGTAAAAAAAATGTATATTCATTTTGAAATTGTTACATAAAACAGTGTTCGACGTATATATCTGATATATCCAAAACTGATCAATAAAAAAATATATATATCACTAATATATAGCACTGGTATATCATGATTGTTTAACTGAAATTCATAATGTTAAAAACAAAAAAAAAAACCCTCCTAAATCAGTCTATTTGCTGGTTTTACATTTTTTGCCCACTTTTCAGCCCGGAAGACCAGCTGGCTGACCATCTAAATCAGCGGAGCAGGAGATTGGCCAGGATGGGAGACCAGAAAGACCAGTGTAAACAAACTAAGACCTAAAAAAGGATATGAATAAACACGTAGGTGAACAACAAAATCAAACATGCCCCTAAAAACAATTGTCGGGTGGAGGCACATGTACAGTAAAGATGAATTGGGTCATAAAAAGGTCAATAATCATTGGAAAAAGTACAGCACTACAAAATCTATTCAGAAAAGGTTTCAGCATCGACGGTGCCAATTCTTCTGCAAAAGCTACCGTTCAATAACAAAAACAAATACATGCTATTAGCTTATGCCCACGGCCTCACAGTACGTCAACCTTTAAAAAGCTCCAGCCCTTTTACTGCCCTCCCGGCAGCTCGCCTGGGTGGGTTTACCCGATTTCAGTTTGTCAAACTGAATTGAAAAAGGAAGTCAATATTTGTGCTCTTTCTTGCAGTTAGCTGCCACTCGCCACAGTTCTCCAGCAGAGTCGTGTTTAATGCGACGCAGCTTATATACACAGTCACATATATCCCGAACAGACTCTTCTGACCTTTCACTGCTCTTAATGCCTTTATAGATTTATTCCAATTGATAAAATATCACTGAGATTAATTAACTTGCTTTTCACACCATCTAGACACCTGCTGTCACCGTCCGGTCAAATGTATTTGCCGTGCACACATGGTTTATTGGAAATTAGCACTTACTGCTGACAGGATTTGGGAAAGAAAGTGGCCCAGAGCTCAATCTTTTCTAATTGCGCAATACATTGATACACGGCCGCTTGCTTCCTTAATGGCAACCTTCACTGCTGCTCTCATTACCGTGAAGAAAGTTAACTTTGGTCATTAAGGGACAGAGAGGGATGAAAACAAAGTAAAAGAGTCAGAAGGTCTTGACTGACTGCCTTTGTCCAGGCTGTAGGCAGTCTGGCCATGGTGACGTAACAGAGGAAACGGAACATCAAAAAGTCCCGTCAAAGTGTTGGCACTGACCCGTGATAAATCGAATCGCTTGTGTAGGCACACTGAAAAAGCATCAGCCTCTCTTTTTTGACGGCTCAGCCTGCCCAGCGCCCGTAATCTCATCTCGGTAGTTCTCACTAATAAGGCTGCAACTCAGAAAACCACATTCTCGCTCTAAAACGGGGCAAAGCCCCATTCAGTCTTTCTATTTAGGAAATCCCCAGTTGAATGCCAGCGAGGGCATTGAAACCGCATTCGGACAAGGGAAAAGACAGTAAAACAGAAGCGTTCCAAATGCTTAATTCATAAACTCTTCTCACTAAACAACAGCATAAATTTGGCAGCTTTGTGGGCCGAGCCCTCGATGGGACACACGGAGGCCTGTGCGGAAGACAAAGAGCTGATTGAGCCAATGCGACCTGTCTGGCCTTTAAAGCATGAGTCTTTCAACTCGACCTTCATTCCCTTCTCTCCTCCTCCTCCTCCTCCTCCTCCTCCCTCCAAGAAGCCTTCACACTGAATCAAACACTCAAAGTAGTCTTCTTGTCTTATTTTGCAGCTCTGTGGAATGCACTTGGATGGGAATTCGCTGATTTTTCACCAGGCTATTCTCAGACGCAGACCATCCAAATGTCAAATCTGCATTTGCGAGAGGAAAACCTCCATCCATCATAATGCCACAAAGCCAGCTGGCAGGGCATCTTGTTGTCGTTCTGGTACTAAACAGAATTTCACACTCCAAGCATGGCAATGCGTAACCGGTTTAGCTTGTGCTTACTGCTCTGAGATCGTACAAGCAAATGTGTGAATGCATAAATTAGAGTGTAGAAGTGAAAATTAATGTGGAGCAGCCAACAAAAAAGACAGGAATAGACAGCAAATTATGTCAGTAGTGTTTTTCAACCTTTGTGACAAAAGTAAAAGTTTTCAGGTATTTCTGCTGTAATAATGACAACAAAAAAAGATGGTTTTCTTATCAAAATTTGGATGTTACAGGTATTGATATGCCAAATTAAATTAGTTAAGAACAATTCATTTTGTGATTCCAAAAGTTTAAAAACTATATGTTCTTGAATTAAAATCAAGAGTTATTGAGGGTAGAGATGAAATATAATTTAGGTTTACATCTTGATTTTAGATTATTTTAATATATTAATATCGATTTATTTTATTTATTAAAAAATGAATGATATTTATGCATTATTAATATTGTTAAATATTATTATTAAAATATGTCAGACATTTATAAATTAACAAACATGATAAAAGTTTAAAAAATGGTTTTCACCTTGAAAAAATATAGTTTTACATTTTTTGGGAAATAATTAGTAAGACACCTTGAATAATATTTACCTGCATTCAAGGTGTAAGGAAAGTATTTTTATTATTATTATTATTATTTTTTTTTTTTTTGCTTTGTTACACCACATGAGCCATTGAATTTAATTTTCTTGAAAATGCAATCAAGTTTTTCCAAAACCACATACTAGATTCCCTCTTTCTTTTAGAACACTTTGTCTTTATCGTAAACGCTCTAATATGTCACTGACATAACTCTAAGTACTGGGAAATAGAGCAAAACAGGGTGTTACAAAGTTATTTAAATATGCAGCTAAGATTCAATGGTTCCATTGTTTGGAAGCAACCATATCGAAGATAAAGCAAGATAACTGAAGAGTTCAGCTGAGAACACGACCTACTGTACTCATGCTTCCCAGTGCTCAAGATGTCCCAAGAGGACTGAGATACAGACAAAAAAACAGTGGCATCAGGAATTGGAGTCAAGGTTCAAAGTGAAAATCATTGTGCAAAGAGTGAATGGAACGAGAGGAGAGAGACAGGACATGTATGGAGCTGTTTTAATTTCAAGGACAGTTCGGAAACAATTAAAGAACAAAACATAAGAAGAAAAGCAGATTTTACATATAGTGACAGGTGAAAATTAGAAGGTTAGATGCATGTATCGGCCATTTAAGAAATATGTGATTCAGTAATAATACCCCAGCTGGAGAAGTCACGGTTTAATTGACGCATGTTTTCTATTTTGAATGGCAGATTTTGATTTGTGCGTGTTTAAGAGTCCCATTCCTCTGGCATAGCAGAGTGAGCGGAAGCCGGCTTGAGGGAGCGGAGGCGGGCGGGCTTGAGAACGGCGCGGCCAGCGAATTCGACGAAGGAGCATCCGGCGGGCATCGGCAACCACATGTGACGACCCCGGGCTGGACTCCGCTTCGTCCACGGTGAAAGCCGATCCGGCGATCCACAGCACCACGACCTACTGTACTCATGCTTCCCAGTGCTCAAGATGTCCCAAGAGGACTGAGATACAGACAAAAAAACAGTGGCATCAGGAATTGGAGTCAAGGTTCAAAGTGAAAATCATTGTGCAAAGAGTGAATGGAACGAGAGGAGAGAGACAGGACATGTATGGAGCTGTTTTAATTTCAAGGACAGTTCGGAAACAATTAAAGAACAAAACATAAGAAGAAAAGCAGATTTTACATATAGTGACAGGTGAAAATTAGAAGGTTAGATGCATGTATCGGCCATTTAAGAAATATGTGATTCAGTAATAATACCCCAGCTGGAGAAGTCACGGTTTAATTGACGCATGTTTTCTATTTTGAATGGCAGATTTTGATTTGTGCGCGTTTAAGTGTTGCATTCCTCTGGCACAGCAGAACACTGACAGTGAAGCACTGAGCCAGAGGCGACGCTGCATATGATCAACATCTGTCTATGAAGACACGGATCGCTGCGAGAACTCTCTCAGCCTGTTTTAAATGCCAGCTACAGTTATTTTGGTGGGATCTCATTAAGTCATTGTAGTTTGCAGGATATCCTCCACTCCAGCCAGTAACTATACTTCCACTATCTGCTTTTAACTCTTCAACGGGTGTATCTGTGAGAGAGAATAGGTATATTATGGGCAACCAGTGGGAGGGCCACATCCTGTTTGCTACAGCATACTTGAAGGCACGGCAAAGATAATTGGCCTTGACGTCAGAATATTCTGATTAAACATTTCTGGTTCCCAGCGGAGAATATTTTGTCATTATTTACTCGTCTCCATGGTGTTTCAAACCTGTATGACATTGTCTTCTGTAAAACATAAAAAATGACATTTTGAAGAATGTTTCAACTGTTTTTGTCCATGATGAAAGTCAATAGGGTCCAAAAGAACACTGGAGTCCCAGTGTATTATTCCCTTTAGTATTATTTATTTACAACTATAATATTACATTTTTTTGCCATATTCATTTTAATTTTATGTATTTTTATGTTTCATAAAT